GTGAGTAGTGATTGTGGATTCTGGTTACGTTTTGAGGCTAGAAACAGTGGAGTTTGCTAAGGGTTTGGATGTAGGTTGTGAAAAAAAGACAGAAGTCAAGGATGACTCCAAGATTTGGGCCTAAGCAACAGGAAAGCTGTATTTGCCACCATCTGATGTTGAAGAATTTGGTAGGAGCAAATTTAGAAAGGGAGTTTAGGATCCACTTTGGACACATTAACTTTGAGATGTCTATCAGAAACAAAGAGAAGAAGTTGAGAGAGGCCTTGGCTGATGCGCGGCATGTGTAAGGAATAGAAGTGAGGTTGGTGTGACTGGAGGGCAGTAAGCTGGAGGATGGTCTTAGAAGATGAGGTCCGAGAAGAGCCAGAGACTTTTGGATTTTATTCTGAAAATGACACAAGGGCATTGAGAGTTATGAACAGGGAGGGAACAAGATTTGACCTATAATTTAAAAGAATTACTCTGATCTTGGGCTAGATATTGGAGTATTCTCCACCTTATTTTATATTGGGGGAAGGAACTAAATTCAACTATTTATTATAGAAATATTTATTGACTTACAACATAACAGGTTAACATCAATATTTTAAAAATGTAATGACATTATTTTCCATGAACATAAACAGTGACCTATTTAAGGAGACTCGATGAGAAATGAGCTGGTGAGCCTATTCAAAATCAGAGTAAAGCTCTAAAAGTAATTCAGTGTATTCACCTTTATCAGCCCTTTGAGAAAAGTTGATTTTTGTTTTTGCGTAATAATACCAAACATGTAACAGCTTCTGTGGGAGTCTTCATTTTCATGTTGATTTAGAAAGCATTACCGTATAGCAAGTCTTTAAGCTTAAGTGTGATATTAATAAATATGTGAAAGGCTCACATGATTTTCCTAGATCAAGTAAAATGGCATTTTGCATAAGGATTATAAAAAATGATTGTAAGTATGGATTTAACTACAGTTATATCAAGGAAATTAAATACCTTGGATAGCAGCATGGTTTATTCAACAAAATTTGTTAAAATTTATAAAGGTCATGATAGGTATTTTCATTTGTATGGTTTGGTAGATCGGAAAACATGGCCATAATATTTTGTGGCTCCTCTTATGAAGGGATGGAGTCTATTTCTACACGCTTTGATGTACACCTCTCCTGTGACTTGCTTGGCAAATAGACTGAGGCAGATATAGCTAAGTCTTAGGAGGGCTTACAGCTGCCATCACTGCCCTGAGACAGTATGGAAGCTGGTAGAGTCTAGTGGAAGAGCAGAAGTCACATAAAGAAGAACCAAGGCACACAGCCAACAGTGAACAGTGACCAGTTGGCAGAGGAGTGGGGTCATCTTGGACGTTCCATTCCAGCCAGACTTCTATCTCAGTGCAGCCACATGAGTGAGCCCAAGAAAATCAGAGAAGCTTTCCCCCTCAAGGCACAGAATCATGTGAAATGATAAATGGTTATTGTTTTAAGCCACTAAGTTTTGGGGAGTTTGCTATGCAGTAGTGAAAAAGTGAAACATATGAAGGAAATATTTTCTGGAGTTTGTTTGCACATATAATTTGAATATGGTTTACCCAGGTCTTCTTTTATTCATTTAGCAGTTAGTTACTGAGTGGTTACTACGCACTTTGTACTAAGTGCTTTAGGAAAGAAAAATATAAAGTATGCATAGTGTCCTTAGGGTAGATAATAGTTGAGTTTGAGTGAGAACTATTAAACACTAAATATAGGTGTTTTTGTAAGTGTTTTCATCTAAGACATGAACTCGTACTTGCTCTAGGAGTTCAGCAGGAGCACTCCCACTTGAGATTCAAGGAAGGCTTCGTGAGGGAGGCCATATTTGAGCCAGGGCTTCAAAACAGGGGAATTATAATCAAAAGGAGTAGATGGGGCAAACGTAGACACAGGGGTCAAGGATTATATATTCTGATAAGTAAACAGTCCAAATGGTAAGTGAAGGGAGATAAAGGAGAGCAAAGCTCAAGGAAAAGCAGATTAGATCCAGATGCCGGAGTCTAGATAATTCTCTATGTACCACGTATCTATTGATGAATAACAAGCCGCCCCCAAATGGAGCAGCTGAAATCAGCACAATTTGTTGTTCCTCACAATTCTGTGCTGATAACCAGGGCAGTTTTTCTGCTGGTCTGTCCTGTGATTACTCTTGGCTTCAGTCATGTGAGGACATGACAGGAGCTGGAGAGTCCAAGATGGCCCCAATCTCATGCCTAGCAGTTGGTGCTTGCTCTCAGCTGGGACATTTTGGTTTTCTTCCGGAAGGTCTCTTATCCTCCATTAGACTGTTCTGGGCTGCTTCGCAGCATGGTGGTCTCAGACTTCCAAGAGAGTGAGAACAAGAGGCTCAGGGTCTCACAAGGTCTAAGCTCTGCAACCCACACAGCATCACTTCCCCAATATTCTACTGGCCTAAACAAGTCATTAGGCAGCTCAAATTTAAGGACATGGAGAAATAGATTTCACTGTTGATGGGAGGTACAGCAGTATGTTGCAAAGGGGTGTGAACCTAGGGAGGCAGTTTATTGGCAACTATTATAATAATCTATCACACCACAAATATGCGAGTGTTCTTAAGCAGTGAGAATCCAATAGCTTCCTTGAACCCAGGATTGACATATCCAAGCTGTGTTTAAAGAATAAGTATATGGTGGGGCAGCCCAGTGGCATAGTGGTTAAGTTCGCATGCTCTGCTTTGGCTGGCCAGGGTTCGTGGGTTCAAATCCTGGGCGCAGACCTGCACACTACTCATCAAGTCATTCTGTGGCGGTGTCCTCCATACAAAATAGAGGAAGATTGGCACAGATGTTAGCTCAGGGCCAATCTTCCTGACCAAAAATAAAAGAATAAAGAATATGAGTATGGCCCTCATCAGTAGGTTACATTAGAATAAAGACAAACTGAAGACCAAGAAGCACAGTGGGAGAATTTTCTAGTAGTTTAGGTCAAGGTAATATATGGCTGGATTAGGAAATATATATTTTATCTATGAACAGAGATTGGCTTTTAATGTATAGTTATGCAAAATATAGTAAGCCTTTAAATAACATATGAATGCTTAAAAATAGGTACCTTAATTATCATCCTTTCTTCTTCGTCTATTTTATTATTTTAAATTAAAAAAAACCCTACTCCACAGAAATGTTTAGTGTTATCAAAGAATTACCTTTGGTTACCTTAAGCCTCCAGCTGAAGAGTCTTATAATTAGCTTGGCTATGATACTGCATAGGAGCAGCTGAGCAAATAAACTGAGATGGATCAACTCATTTGACCTGGCAGCTCACACAAAATTCCGAGGCATAGAACAAGGACAGCTTTGCTGAACCCTTCTGGAGACCGGGAGTTAAGAAAATACAAAGAAAAAGAACAGCTTCTGCCTCAAAAGTAAAATGATGACAAACACCTACTGTTTCTCTACTGTCCCTTGATCCGTCTACCTGTGCACCTACCCGTCTGCCTAACTGCCACTGGCTTATACTCTGCCTTAAAAAAATAACTTAAGATAATTGAATATTTATGATATGTAACTGAGAAAAATAGGGAGATTATTTTAAAAGGCTAGAAACAGAATGTCTGGAATTTAAACATTGAATATTACTTCTTCATGGCCATGATAATTGAGTTATGTCTGTTTGTGCATAGAAGTTGAAATGTGCATCCAAAAGTATGTAGTAATGGTTTTGACTGCTTAATAGAGGTATAATTTGCATACCCTAAAATTCACTCATTTTAAGTGTAAATTTCAATCATTTTTAACATATTTACAGAGTTCTGCAATCATCATCACATCTAGTTTTAGGACATTTCCATTATCCCATTCTCACCATCAGTTCCAGGCAACCGCTAATCTGCTTTCTATCTCTTTTCTGGGCATTTTATATAAACAGAACCATACAATATGTGGTCTTTTACAACTGGCTTCTTTCACTCAACGTGCTTTTGTGGTATATCCGTATTATAACATGAATCATTACATAATTCCTTTTTCTTGCTGAATAGTATTCCATGATACACTGATTTTTATGTTGTAAATCTCATATCTCCCTCCAACATTCTACAATATATATGTATTATTCATGGTCTTACTTTGCTCTTTTTTTTTTTGGCGAGGAAGATTGGCCCTGAGCTAACATCTATAGCCAATCTTCCTCTTCTTGCTTGAGGAAGATTATCACTAAGCTAACATCTGTGCCAATCTTCCTCGGGGGTGTTTAATGTGAGATGCTGCCACAGTGTAGCTTGACCAGCAGTGCTAGGTCTGCACCTGGGATCCGAACCTGCAAGCCCTGGGCCGCTGAAGTAGAGCGCATGAATTTAACCACTATGCTACCAGAGTGGCTTCTGCTGTTTTTTTTTTTTTTAAGCTAGTAGCAGCAGTGCTATTTCTAATGTTCTTTTGACAATTCTACTTTGGTACATCTTGTAACAATTTCTATCCTGCTCCCTTACTTTCATTCCATCAAAAGCTTTGTAAAGATGATTGATCCATTTAAGAACTTATTTTGAGAGTCACTTGGCAATTGTTCACTCCTCAAGCCTTTCATACATATATATGAAACACACACACACACATACAGTAAATTATCTCTCTTCCTGTGGGAAAAAACAAGGGAAGACCATTGATAATTTGACAGGGAATAGATTTAGCAACGTCTGGTCTCTACGCTTCCTTGATGTGCATTCAAAATGTTTGTGTGTCACCCATGAAATTCAGTCTGTTCATTTTACATGCTACTCAAATATAATTTGTGATATTTTGGCTACAATTTTTGGCTATTAATCAAAATAAGACTATATCTGGTTGATGTAGGGGAAAAAACTTAAAAGTTATATTTTCCTGAGAATACAATATATTGTACAGTAGAAGATCCCAGCTACGACATGCCTTTATGAAATGTGCTTTAGCTATCCAAAGAATAATGATGAGAAATAATGTGCCCAAATGCAAAAGTTTTAATTTTAATGCACATTCGTTTCTTTAGCATTTGTGGAATCCAGCATCTGGAACGAATAGGAAAGAAGCTCAATCTCTTTGACTCTCTTTACTTCTGTATTGTGACCTTTTCTACCGTGGGCTTCGGCGATGTCACTCCCGAAACGTGGTCCTCCAAGCTCTTTGTCGTTGCAATGATCTGTGTTGCTCTTGTGGTTCTGCCTATACAGGTAAACATAACCGTGTTAATTTCTTCAGAAATCTGCAAAGTCTTATGAAATCTAACCTTCCACATTTAAAAAGAAATCTAGCATGATTTATTAATCTAACAGTAACATATAAACACATGCTGCTATTTCATCTAGTCAGTTGGTTAAAATTGTCTCAGAAATGCCTTCTTATATGATATTAGAAACACTGAGAGTTTTTTTCCTCCAGTCACAACTGATAGCTCACATTTCGTTTCAGTTCTCCTAGATGTTTCTTTTAAGTTTAGGGTATTTAGCTATATTATTTCTAGGATAATATAGTTGTTAATTATAGAAGGATAGATCAAGGAAATAAACTTGTGAAGGGTTGAATTCTCTTGATTCTTGAAATAAGCTAAAAGCCATACATTGTAATGAATAAAACTTGGGTACATATGTCAGTCAACCAAAACAAACAAAATCAGAAGAGGGGATGGAACTATTATGCACCGTTTGGGGAAGTGAATAGGGAGGTTGCAAAGGAACAGAGATATAACGTGAAACTAAAGCTACGTGGATGCAATCTCCAAATCTTTTACTATGAGCTCTGGGTGTCCGTGGGCGGGCAGGTCAGAAACACGATATAGCAAATGCAAAGCAAACTTGTATGGTCCATTACACAGCCTTTGGCCACAATGTGTCTAAATATACTTTACATAGGTATAAAAATGATCTTCCTACTCCTATTCAATCACGCAGGTCATCCTTCCCAACGTCTGTACCCTATAGCCTCCTCTTCCCTTGCATGCCAGCTACTAACAACTAGATGATGGCCTTGTGTGTGTGGTAAGGGTATCTGCCATTGCATGAAATGTGGGCTGAACCTGACGGAAGAATGTGGAAGAAATGCCAATGAGGCTTTTCTCTTTGACACAGCACGTGTCATATCATGGCTACATGCTCTACTGGACATAAAGCAGAGGCACACACCTCTTAGTGCCCTATTATGATATAATAGGAAAATCATATTGATATGTTTCCTTAGAGACTGAAGCCCCTGGGAGGCATTAGCAACCTCTGCAGCAACCATATGAAAAGCCTATTGTTGAAGGGAACACTGATAAATTGATAACTCAATGAGATCCATCTAATAAATTGAGCATATCTCATAAACAGTAGATGTATTAAATTGATTTTTATTTTCATGTCCAGTGTTTTTCATTCACATGTGGAAAATACATTACAGTTTGAACAGCTGGCCTATTTGTGGATGGAGAGACAAAAGTCAGGTGGAAACTACAGTCGACACAGAGCTCAAACTGAAAAGCACGTTGTCCTGTGTGTCAGCTCACTGAAGATTGATTTGCTTATGGACTTTTTAAATGAATTCTATGCTCATCCGAGACTACAGGTCCGTTTAAATTATTTTGTGCATTATACTGAATCATACCTACTAACATATTGTCCAAGTCAATTAACTGATGGTGCAGTCTGCATTCTGGAAGATTTTTATTTATACACTCCAATTTAGAAAGAGTAAGTGAAGAACTACAAATATAACCAGGAACATAGAAAAAATATTGGAGGAATGTACAGTATTTTAAGTTTCGTTCTGTATCTACACTAAAAGACAGATGGACTTATGTTAATGCTACAAAGAAAGGTTTTCTTTGAATTAAACGGATGGCTTTTTTTCTCCCTCGGGTAATGCATAAATGATATTTTTATGAAACAGTGAAATTTAACATAAAATATAATAAAACAATGAAAAAAATCATTTCAATATCATCTGCTCACTTGAATATTTCAGAATTTTATGAAGTGTTGCTGATGGAAATGTGGAAGTCTGGAAGTTCCATTTTTTTCTTTTGTTTCCTGGAGTGTAACTAGGTCCTATTTATAGTAACAATAAATGACCAAAAATTGGATAATAACTAGCTGAATTGAGAACATGAATTCAGAAAAATCTCTTCGTCTATCTATGAAGATAAAATTCTCAGATACTTCTTTCATTTGCCACGGTACTAGGCTAATGCAGATTTAGTAATGTTCCTTGCTTAATCCAGTCTAAACATCAAAGAGCTACTTGAAAGTCTTATATTTCCTCCATAATTTGTGTCAAGAGGTTGGAAAATCTCGAGATCAAGACAGTACTTAGTATATCTAATTACCCTTCCCTTAAAAAAGATAAAGAGTTTTTTTGTGAATAATTGGAAATATTCTTAAATATTATTTTTAATATATTTTAAAAAATCTAAATTGTAAGTGATACTTATATAATACATTCATTTGTTTTCATGTAAATTAATTTGCATTTTTGGAGAAACTCCATATTTACTTATTGGTTTTTATATTATTCATATTAAATAATTTCAAGCTTGCTCATTATGACCCACAAAGAAAAATCTATTATGGGGAAAATCTGATCCCCCCCAAAATTTGATCCTTTGTAATTTATTTTGTCTAATATCAATATAGAGAATTCTGAAAACTCCAAAAATTCCTGCTAGATATTTTTTAGAGTGATAAAATGGTGGATATTTACCAGAGAATTTTAATTCCTGTAGATCAGTTGTTTTAAATCATTTCATCACTAAATACCTTCGTGTTTTTTCTAAAGGACCATTATTTTGAAATATTTTCATCTCAAACTTTCTTATTTAATTTACCTTGTCAGTATTACCAATATTTTTATGAAACCTTATCCACTCAGATCGTCATCAGAAGTTTTTCAAAATCGTCAGCTCATAATAATATTACCAAATGATAAAAATCACCATCACAGTTTTTATTCTGAAAATAAGAGCTTGAAGTATGAATTAATACGTAAGAACTTCTGCCTGGTGTACAGTGTATGTTTTAGAATGAGCCTGAAGTTATAGCTGAAAACTTCACAGGCTAGAAAAGTGTGCCTGGTGATGATCACCTTCTCTCCATGGTACTAAGAAGATTGGAAAAGGTCAGGAAGAATTTATCAATTTATTATATTTTTATATGTTTCGGTTATGTTTATTGTAGTATCATGTTATTTAAAAAATCCCTAGGTTTTAAATGAAGAATTTTATTTATTAACAAGAGTTCATGTCTATTTTGTCATATTGCACAATGTTCTTAGATATTCTGTTACCTGTGTAGCATAAAACGAAGCATTGCTCTTTCTATCCCACTGCACACTTTGTTTTGAATAGGATTACTACGTGGTGATTTTGTGTCCTACTGAAATGGATGTGCAGGTTCGAAGGGTACTACAGATTCCAATGTGGTCTCAAAGAGTCATCTACCTTCAAGGATCAGCCCTGAAAGATCAGGATCTCTTGAGAGCTAAGTAGGTATCCCTATCTTTTTTCCACTTTACCATGCTTTAATATTTTTTCTCTCCTCCAAATTTTAGTAATTTCAGTATTATAAGACGTATTTTAGTATTTTTGAATACAGAGTTTGGCCTTAGTCCCACTGCTGGTCAAATTGAAAGGTTAAAACTATAAAATCAGGTGTTTGGTCCTCTTTCTCAGTGTGAGGATGTTCAGCTGACTGTGTCCACATGCCTCAAAGAGGGTGACGTGGTGCAATTATCTCAGGCTGTCAGGCATCAGCTGCGTTATCCAGACTCCCTGTTGAAGAACAGTGTCCCACTCCCTGAATACCATTTTTATTCCACAAATAAAAATCTTGGGCAAAACGTTGTGTGAGATGCCCAAGCAGTTTGAGTTGGGGTTTAAATTTTAGAGAGTTTGTATTATGTACTGGGCAGGTAACACCTGGATCGCCTGGTGTCAGAGATGAGAGTCCTTGGGGGCTGGAGGAATGAGGAAGGTGACAGGACCTACTTAGTCGTTCTCTTCTTGTTGCACGTGTGCCAGCAAACCCGGCTTGAAGGTGGCATCGTCTTAAACATTTGTCACAGGTCATGGGGGTTATTGCACGTGAACAGCGTGAGAGCAGGGACCATGGACACCAGGAAGTTAGGGTATCTGCAAAACAACATATGTCATTTCAGAAGCCAGAAGAGATCCGTAGCAGAGGTAGCTTTGCTCCATCTTTTCTGTTGCTTTCAAAGTTTTGAACGTCTTCATGTTTATCCTTGAGTTGTCCTACATGCTCTTTTAGATTGAAAAGTCTCCTCATTGTGTTTTATAGCATAAGTGATTTTTATTTGTTGTTGTTGTTTCAGTCTTTTTTGGACAGCTTGAGTATATGTGTTAGTGGGTATGTGTGTGTTTGTGTTTGTTTCTGTGTGTTCTTTGCGTGTGTTTGTGTGTGTGTGGGGGAGAGGAAGGTTGATGGAAAAGAACACAAGAAAACTCCCAAACTCCTTTTCGCTGCTTAATCCTGCAAGTGATGACTAGATATCTTGTCACAGGAACTCTGACATTACTTTTGATTTATGTATAACAGTTCAATTTAGCTGAGATTTTTTTCAATGATTTAATAACTTCTGAAACAGAAAGTCATTAGAAACTATCAGGATATAATGAATGGTACATGATTGGAAAATTAAGCTTCTTTGAGAATATATTGGTATTTTTGGTGATTAAACACTTCAAATATGTTGTCACTGTACACATCACAGTTCTATAATTAATCACATTCTCACAGTACCTCAGGTAAAACACAGCTTGACATGTTTGCTAATTATTTGATATCTGCACTCATTATTTGAAAGCTCTAAAGAAATAGTTGCTTAGGGGTCTGGCCCCGTGGGGTAGTAGTTGAGTCTAGCGCACTCTGCTTTGGCAGCCCAGGTTTGTGAGTTCAGATCGCAGGCACAGACCTACACTACTCGTTAAGCCATGCTATGGCGGCATCCCACATACAAAGTTGAGGAGGATTGGCACCGATTTTAGCTCAAGGCTAATCTTCCTCAAGCAAAAAAAAAAAAAAAAAAAGAGGGAGATTGGCAACAGATGTTATTAGATCAGAGCGAATCTTCCTCACCAAAAAAAAAAAAAAAGCAATGGTTGCTTAAACACTAACATATGTAATTTTGATCTTTATATTCATATGAGTAGATAATCGTTATACCTAATTATTGTGTAAGAGCTAAGTTCTTCACACAATAAGAATGAGTAATGCCATATTATGTTCAATATGCATTTGTGTGATAAATGAAGACTTTTTACTCCCTAATAGATTAATCTAAGCTATTTGTATTAGCTATTAGTATCTTAGGTAGATGCCATCTAGGATTAACATAACTCATTTATTATTAATAGTATTAAAATTATTTCTTAGCAAAATCGTATTACAGAAACATTCCTCCATAGGAATGAGAAAGGGTGCAAATGAGGGTCAGGGAGAGGTAGCAGGCTGGTAACATGAGAGCTGGGTTGAGAAAGAAATGAGATGACAGAGTATCCATCTTTATGTTCATTTCATATCGTAATGTCGTGTAAAGATTTGGGATTTCACGATAATTAAAACATTCTGCAACACAATTCTCCATGCAAGAAACCAGGAGTTGGTTTCTGCAAACCAGTTCGGAAGCTCAGTTGCATGAGTTTTGAATTTTTCATTGAAAATGATGTTTAGAAGATGTTATGCAATGCTCATATTATCTTAATAACCGTGGCTCAACATTTTCCCAGAACAGTTTGGTTTGGTCTAATTCCACTTTTATCTTTCCTCTCTGAAGAAAGTATTTCTTGGAAGGAAAGATTTATTTTATCCTCTTGAACCAGAAAGATAAGTCATTCCTCATTTTGGAAATAAACATTTTTATGCTTTGAGAACATTATTTATCAAGCACTGAAACGTACTGTTTATCACTAAATTTAGGAAGTACAGAACTTTAGCATGAGGGGAAGGGGTCTGGAATGAGATGATGAATTATCTCCAGGAAATATAAAATCATAGTATAGTCTGACTTAGGAAGACGAAGTAGCTCTCTTCTATTATCTCTCTTAGTTTAATTGAGGCATTGCAGTTAAAATGTAATTCATCATAAAATAAAGGCCAATACAGCTTCCTTAACATAAACAAAGCACATATATGAGAAAACATATAATCATAAAAGAGAACAAAATTTGACTTTTTCTTAACTTCTCTCATTATAAACTATCGAGTCATATAGCCAATTCAGCAACAATTATTTTGTTCAAAAGTCCAGTCATGGTCTGCTGAAATCCAGCTCTCATTAAGGCTGAAGGATCTTTGGAGTCTACATGTACCTTGTGTGCATTAAGCACTGAAATTCTAGCTTTCAGATAATACATGGATATTTCAGTGTGTGATTATTTTCTTTTGCTGTCTGCATTTAGGATGGATGATGCTGAGGCCTGTTTCATTCTGAGCAGCCGTTGTGAAGTGGATAGGACATCATCCGTAAGTTTCTAAAATCTCTTAGTACTGTTCTTTTCACTTTAGAAGTTTTTTGTGTTTTTTTTTTGTGTGTGTGTGTGAGGAAGATTGGCCCTGACCCCTAACATCTTTTGCCAATCTTCCTCTTTTTGCTTGAGGAGTATTGTCCCTGAGCTAATATCTGTGCCTGTCTTCCTCTATTTTATGTGGGATGCCACCACAGAGTAGCTTGACAAGCAGTGCTAGGTCTGTGCCCAAGATCCAAACCTGCAAACCCCAGGGCGCCGAAGTGGAGCACGTGAACTTAACCACTAGGCAACCGGGCTGGCCCTGCAAGATTTTTTTAAATTAAATTAAATTTAATTCTTTTTTTCTTTGCTGAGGAAGATTCGCCCTGAGCTAACATCTGCTGCCAATCTTTGTCTTTTTTCCTTTCTTTTTGTGAGCCGCCACTACAGCATGGCCACTGACGGACAAGTGGTATAGGTCTGTTTTTAAATCTGCCAACATTAAATATCCGTGACTTTAACATTTTATTAAAGGGAAACAAACATCTCTAAACTATCTTTGCCATAATATGAAAATAGTTGCATCATTGACTGTGTCAGCAAAAGTGTTTTTGAAGTGGTTTCTACTAATCCTTGGGTTTTCCGTTGGTCACAATGACACGAGTCATATATAAACAGAGCTAGACCATTTTTAATTAAATATATCCTATGCTGTGTAATTTCGTTAAGATGATCTCAATTTCCTCAACTCAAAAACAAGGCAGATGGATCAGACAGTCTGCATTAGAATCAGCTGGAGGGTTTCTCAAAAATATGCATTCGTGAAAATTCTATTCAGGATACACGGGGTGGGGATTGGGAATCTGTGTGGTTTAAAAAGATCCGCAGGTGATGTGGAAGTACCTTCTAATCTGGTAATCTTTGTCTTGTATGATCTCTGTGATGCATTTTTTAGATCTAAGGTTCTATAAACTCATAATTAACTGAATTGTATAGTTTACTAAATTATAACTTCTGTTTTTTAAAAGATGCATTTTAATTTTATTATTTTAAAAAAGTGCCTTATTATTTTAGGTTTAGTGGGTACTGTTACCTCCTGCGTTTCTAAGCCAATGAGCACATCTCTAGCCATATCTATGGTGCACAGACAAATGAGACCCTTGGGGGCTTCTGTAGTGATGGGGGGAAAACAAAATATGCATGGGTCTTTTAGGGACCTGTTTTGCCCTTTCTGGAACATCTAATAGGTGTGCTCTGTAGGTCCTGAATGTGGCTGGTTTTGTGTTGTCCTCACTCTAATTTACCTAAACTTCTTACTCATTTTTAAACCAACTTTCTCATCCTCTGTTTGAAGAGAGCTGTTACGGGTTGAATTTCATCCATCCAGAACTCATATATTGAAGTCCAAACCCCCATAATGTGAACTTATTTGGTGATAAAGTCTTAACAAGAGATAATGAAGTTATGATGAGCTCATTAGTAGGGGCTTAATCCAGTATGAGTGGTGTCCTTGTAAAAAGGGGGAATTAGGTGACAAGTATCAAGGAGAACGCCTTATTTACATAAAGAGAGCCATCTGTAAGCCAAGGACAGAGGCCTGGAACACATCCTTCCATCACTGCCCACAGAAGGAACCAACCCTACCAACACCTGATTTTGGACTTCCGACATCCAAGACTGAGACAATAAATTTCAGTTAAGCCACCCATTTGGTGGTACTTCATCCCCACAGCCCTAGCGAACTGATATAAGGGCATAGACCAAATAAATGGTTGCAAAATTTGTAAGATATTTCTCTCCAAAATGTATATTTTTAAAAATTCATCTGCTCCCCCCCTTTTTCACAGTTACTATCTTAATTCAGACCAGACTCTCCTCAGTTCACTTAAGTACTATTCCAATAGATTCTTAATTAGTTTGGCACCTTAAGTGCTCCAAGCATGTTTACTGAATAAGTGAATTTGAATTGAACATATTCTACTTTATGTTTCTATGGTTATTCGACTTATGTAAGTGTGAATCGCGTGCCCCTCAAATAGTAAGCTGGTTTCCAAACACTTGCAGCCCTCTGGTAGGTATCTATAATGCCTTTGTGAACAATGGGAGTTTAATATTAGGAAATAAATACACAGTGCCTTTCAGAGTTCTCTTTACAATGAGAATTTGGGTACTTTCAGTTAAACAAACGCATTCCATTTCCTCCTGACATTCTACTAAATTGACGGGAAAGGGATAAAAAGGTTTCACTCATGAGGACAAAGGAGATAGTAGATGAGACAAGTTTGGAAGTTAGAAAGCAGATGGATGAATGGTGACTGACTTAACAGACAGAAGGGAGTTAAAATTTAAGTTGAGAGAGGAAACAAATCGCGAGCAGGCTGCTTTTTGCCATGGAGCCTCAGAAGTCTCAGGAAATAGAAGTACCAGATGCCTCTGCAAGGAGGGTTATATGTAGGACTAAATATATGAATAGCAATTAAAAGTCTGTAAGAGAAGCAATTCTATTCCCTGAATCCCTCCGTATATCCATTGCCAGGCACTTTCCCCACCCTGGGAGGAGAGGGTTACTGTTTGGAGAATTTGGTCCATGGATACCTGCACTCAGAAACACTGGGTGCGGCTGAAGGTCCAGATAAAATTCAAGGTAATTAAAGAACAAGTCATCTCACTGAATGTGAGATGCTTCCCTCAAATGACTCTGAGGACCCTTACAGCCAGGTCCACATCTCCAGTGACACAAGACTGGAGGAGTTTTCTCTGGGGAAATGGTCCCTCACAAGAGAAAATGCCATATATATATATATATATATATATATATATATATATATATATATATACACACACACACACACACACATATATACATATATGCATACAGATATATATATATATATACCTATCTATATAAAGTGTGTGCATAGATATAGAGTCTGGAGTTCCCCAGTACAATATCATAGATTGATCACCTTATCGTAAAGTTCGTGTGAAAATAAGGTCCCTGTGTTCACTCAGGTCCCAAACAGCGTTTGAGTGCATCCCTCCTACATATGTTCAGACAACAGGGATCACTGGACATTTAAGGAAATTCATAATAAGAAAAAGAAAGAATAGGGGCTGGCCCCGTGGCCAAGTGGTTAAGTTCAAGCGCTCTGCTGCAGGCGGCCCAGTGTTTCATTGGTTTGAATCCTGGTCACGGACATGGTACTGCTCATCAAACCATGCTAAGGCAGCATCCCACATGCCACAACTACGAGGACCCACAACGAAGAATATACAACTATGTACTGGGGGGCTTTGGGGAGAAAAAGGAAAAAAGTAAAATCTTAAAAAAGAAAAAGAAAAAGAAAGAATAAATGAGCAAACAAGAAAAAGTCACCCAGAAAAGAGGAACTCAGAGGCAACACAACAGCACTGTGCAATTTTGGGAGAAGAAGTAAGTCTTAGAATATATGATAAATATCCTCAGAGTAATAGGAGAAGATGAGGAGCGTGAAAATATATAAAACAAGAATTCTAGGCTACAGAACAAAGCAATTCAAGACAAAACAAGAAACAGGGAACCAAAAAGAGCTCCTGGAAGTTAAATAGAGAGTAACACATGAAAAAGTAAATAAAAAGTGTAGAAGAAAAATTTAAGGACATTGAAAGAATGAAGAATATTAAAATGAGCACTTAAGCCAAATAATGGAAAAGTGGAGTCAAAACATGAGAAAATTAAAGGATTAGTCAGGAAGAAACAATATCCATATAGTAAGAATTTAAGAAAGGGAATCCAGAAGGTGGTGCAGGGGAATATTATCAAAGATATGATATAGTCAAATTTCCCAGACTGAGAGCATCAAATTGAGAGGGCCCACCTATTACAGAATAATGGTTAAAAAAAACCTGCACTGAGGGCTGGCCCGGTGCTGTAGTGGTTTAAGTTCACTCACTCTGCTTCTGCAGCTCAGCGTTCACAGACCCAGGTCTTAGGCACAGACCTACACACCGTTCATCAAGCCATGCTGTGGAGGGGTCCCACATACAAAAACAGAGGGACATTGGAGCAGATGTTAGCTCAGGGTGAATCTTCCTCAAGCAAAAAGAGGAAAATTGCAACAGATGTTAGCTCAAGGCCAATCTTTCTTACCAAACAAAAAAAGAAACAAACAAACAAAAACCCATTATACTGATCAGAGAGAATGAGAGAAGAGAAGGACCAAGAGAATGAATGAGGAGAATGAAATTGAAGAGGAAAGAAAGAAGAAAACATTCAAAACTAAGGATGGAGAAACAATGTTTTCAGACTTCTCGACAGTAATACCAGAAGCCAGAAGACAATGGGACAATGCTTTCAAAATTCAGGAAGATGTTTTGCCACCTAGATTTCTGTATCCTGGCAGAATTTTGGTCAAGTAAGAAGGTAGAAAGAAAGTTATTTACAGATATTAAAGATTTCAAAAATGTGCAATCCTCAGGAAGCTGATAGAAAATGTGTTTTACCAAAACCAGAAAGTGAGTGAAGATAAAAGACGACTCAGAGGAGAAAATGGGAATTCCCATGGTTCTGGAAAAAAGCAGATACTAGACCAACAGCTGAGCAGCAGGTTCTGAGTGCAACAGGGAGGGCTGCCTCTGGAAAGAGAAGAAATCGATGCAACTGATGTGGGTGAAGGTATGGAGAGGAGATTTCTGCTTCTGGGCAGATGTTATGGACTGCATTGTGTCCCACCGAAATTCAAATTGACCTACTGAAGCCCTAATTCTTAATACCTCAGAATGTGATTGTATTTGGAGCTATGAGGTCATTATGCTGGGCTCTGATTCCGTCTGAGTAGTGTCCTTCTAAGAAGAGGAGACTGGGACGTACAGAGAGACACCAGGGATGTGCGTGCACACACACAGGAAAGGCCACATGAAGAGGCAGCAAGATGGCGGCATCTGCAAACCAAGGAGTGAGGCCTCAGAGGAAAGAACCCTGCCTGCACTCTGATCTTGGTCTTCCAGCCTCCAGGACTCTGAGAGGATAAATTTCTG